CTAAAGTATAATATTTACATAGACTTTATAAAATTTAAAGTATCGTTAAATCTCACTTATCATCTTTTTCATTAATTGTTTTGATCAATCGAGTTCTCTATAAAATTGTAAGTTTATAAGTGATTTCTACCACTAATAATATATAACACTACCATATATACTATGGGATAACCGCATAAACACGGAGGATACATGGATAGCTCCCTTTGTAGTGTATACACGAGGTGTATGAGTTCGGTGGTGAACTACAGTTACAAGCGAGAAAGAACGACGAGATTGTAAGAGCTTAACGAAATCGAATCTAGGATGCATGCATGTAAATCATAGCTTTATTGTGTAACCAAGTGAATGATTGCAATAGTTGTGTAACATTTTGTGATTGATTACATGTTCGAGTGTTATTCGTTATTTTGGGTTTGGTCGGAATTTGTATGCGTTTTTAGTTTGGCGCTAAGTCGGAGTCATTTTAGATTACTCATCACTTTTTTTGGACGATATGAGACCATGCTAGATAATTTTTAATGTTCTTGCAAAACATTTAATATTTGTTATGTGCAGATTTCTAATTTTAGATCCGCACTAAAATAGGTTTGTAGTATGATCTGACCATTTTCATTTCTCACAAGTCACAACCCAATTAAAAATGATATATACTCAACGAAAAAATGTTATATAGTCCATGATCAATCTTTTTCAAATTCTTCTTGCAGCCAAAATTATGTACAAATATTAACACATAATTTGTTGCTTTGCAACTTAGCATTAACTATCAAAGCCAAAACATCACTGTTGGTGAAGAACAAGCTCTCGATAGTAAGAAGATGATGCTTCTCTATATCAGTCTGTTTATTTCTTTTCTCCATATACAGTTTTCTCAAACAATCAAGTTACAAATACAGATTTGATAGCATTTTTCTCATGGTATTGTATTCCACCAACAAGACTTGCTTTTACGTAAACATGTAGTCAAATCCTATAGCTTCTGGATGAAGGAAAGAACGAGATCTGTATGTACAGAGAAGAGTTGCGTATCCGCTAATAACTGTTCGCAAAGCCATACAACAATTAGCAAAGTCCAGTGACCTTTCCATGAAACTATTTGAATACGAAAGAAGGGGTTCTCACCTTCATGAACGTGCGATGACGACTAGGAAATGAGTCAATGAAACTTTCCTTTAGGAGAAGTGATACCTGAAAGAAACCAAATATCAATATTTACATAACGGAAACGCTCTAAGCTGGAAATCTTTTGAATGGTAGATATTGAAAACAAACCTTATCATTGTTGGATTGCACATTTGTTATAGTGTGTGACTGCAGATTAGAGCAAAGTGAATCCATGTACAACCTTAGCACACCCAAGAAGCCTTTTGCAGCTTCCACCTTTGGATAATTATAAACCGTATGAAATTCAGTTGATGACAAGTGGTTAGAAATAACAAATCACATTCAAAATTCTCTGGAGAGAGTGAGAGAGAGACCTGCACATCAGTACATTCATATACTGGTCTTTTCTTTGCTAGATAGCTTTCTCCAACTAGCTTTGAGTGATAAGGACTCAGCGCATTATATAAGTCGCGGTACTGAGGCAGCTGAGGAATACTTGGTGACTTAATCTGAGATTTTATCAGAAATATAGACCGTTAATATCTCCACATGCTAGTTATAGGCTATAGCCCAAGGAAAATATAAGTTGCTCTGTCAATAAATCATATGTAGAAGGGACACGGGATATATGGAGCTTCATTCCCAAAATCGTGATTTCTAAGAAAAGACATATAGTTGCTTTTTTAATAGTTGCTTTTTCAGAAAACCACGATTAAAAAAACGGTAACATGATCATTAGCAGACAATAATGAGGGCAAAGGCAGAAACTGACCTGGTTCTTCATAACATCCACAACTATAACATTCGTTAGCTTCGACTGAACTTCACTTGTTTTGTTCTTTACCCCAACCTACAAATGAGCTTGGCCTGTTAAGCAACATAAATAACTATGATATGGATCCTACGACATAGGAATTATGTTCACAAACTCACTATGTAAGGGACTGGGGCATCCAGAAATTCGAGCATATCATCTGGCAAAACCTAGAAATCAGGGCCAGCCATTAGTTATACATGGGTTACCTACAGATTTCTCAGTGAAGAACCGAGAGAGAAACAGGATAATACCGGCATTAAAAGGCTCTGCCACCGAAAGGGGCGGATTACTGGGATAAGTGATAAAACTGACGCAGCTAAGATTCCCTATATTAAAACCCAAATAGTTATATGAAAGAGGAACATGCAATATTTGAAGACTAAGTAAATGATGCCACAAAGACTATATGCTTTACCAAATTGGAGCAAATAAATACAATCTGTTTCTCAAGCAGTGCTCCTGCCAGGATCATCAAGACCTGCAAAGAAAAGAAAAAATATCAGAATCTGTCCAAATGCAGTAACTAGTGTCACTAGAATATCAATGGCAGTATCATTATCATAAGAAACTGCAACTTGGACTCCAGAATTCGAGCATAAAACACATATTGAAACCATATTTGACCAACAGAAAACGGGAAGATAATTTAATATGATTATATGTGCCTTTTATATCTCGCTTTTGTAAATATGCATCAGCATCACAGAAACCGCATAGTAAGTCATCGTGAAAAGAAAATATGGAAAGCAAGAAATCACATTGTCAAGCCGCAGTGATCCACATAACGAAGCAACAGCCCAAGTTGATAGTGCAGCTGCTTCTTCCTCAGCCATGAGCGCAGTGTGTGCCTAAAGACCAAGGAAGATGAGAGTTTTTGGAAAGTCATATATAGGTTTCCAGATGTAATATAATGCAACATAATAATTATATGAATTTCAGATACAATTGTGTTGATACCTCTGCAAGTTCTAGACTAGTGTTGCATGATCTTAGGTCAATTGCTGATCCAGGAGTATGCAACGCCACCTCATTGGGTCTATGATATTCAATCCGGTGAAGATGCTCCAAAGGATGAAACATAATACTTGAACCTCTTGCCGGGCATTTTAATTGGTAATACTCACATAGTATCAGCAACGGCCCATTATTTTTGGACTGAAAGATTTGTTAACTTCGAGTGTTAGGAGATACGGCAAACACAACATAGGAAACTTCCAAGATAGCAAAATAGACAAACCTTTGCCCACTCAAGGATATCAAGATTACTGCTTGTATCATCTTGACCCGAAAAGGATGCTTCATCTGTCTCAGTAGCATCTACACTGGTCCTAGAATGCCTCGTCTCGCAAGGAGCAGCCTGAAAGCTGCCAAAAAAAAGTTATAAGCTGTGCAGAATTGCTATACTTCTGCGACATAACAGAAGAAGGAAGGGATTTCGATGATGTACCTAGAGCTAGAATCAGAGACCTCATCCAAATAAGGGCACCGAAGAAGCGGGCCAGGATCTGGTAAACAACTTTCTTTGCCTTGCTGAACAATTGGCAAGGAATCATCAGCTTTAGCGACGTGGTTGTCAGCCTCTGCAAAACACAGCTCACTTCTCTTGGCAACTGTCTCAACTTCATGAGACACTGAAAGCCCAGACGTCTCCTCAACAATTCTCTCTGTTGAACACAAGTTGAGGTCAACTTTCTGATTCGTCTCGCAAGTCTTATTATCTGAAACTTCGTCAGCTTTAGGGAGTTCTGAACCTGCTTCACCAGTTTGTTCATTTGTGTCCTCAGAGTCTCTTTGTTGGGCTAATGTATCATCTAAGCTGTCTTCATTGCTGAAATCTAATGGGGGTTCTAATGATGCACAACTGATGCCACTCATCAAATGCTCCAGTCTTTCTTCCAAGAAGATGCTACATAAAAAGGAATATCAATGTGAGCACGCCTTCAAAGAGCGAAGGATTTAGCCATAAGATATACAAGTTAACCATTTTTGTGGGATGCATAAATATAAATAAAACTGTGTGCATGATATATTATGTTGTCGGCGCACTAGAATGACCTGAATTGCATGAAGACAAACACGATTTCAGAAGCGAGTTTAAACATACATACCTATTTAATACACCAAAATGCAATTCAAAAAACGGCAGCCTTGTAAGGATGCAATAGCATCTGCGAGTTGTCAGAACATAGCGACTTAATGATGAGCAAGCAGGTGGTGGTTTATCCAAAACCGTGGAAAGCAATCTTGATGGTTTGTTCACTATTTCTTCCACTAGTATGCAACATCCATACAAAGTCGAATTATCAGCAACCTAAAGGAAAAATATCACAGATATGACTCATCCAAATAGAAAGGCTATAATAATGTAATAAAGGTTTAAAATAAAAGAGATAGTTTGGCCATGATGATGCTTACCTGTAACCTAAATACAAATGAAAGATCACTAGGTCTAAGATGTTCCTGCAAAGTTGGCATCACCGAGTTTAAAATTAGTGTATGTTATCGTACATAAATCCGAGCCTTGTGAATTGAAGTTGAAACAATGATTAAATCCACAATATTTTCCCAAAATACAAAGATCAATCTTTACATTTACACTCCACATCAGGCAAGTACCTGACTGAGAATGATCTCACTCAACTCGCTCATGGAAGGAGTTCTTTCAACAGCATGGACCTGAAACCATTAGTCAACAGTATGAACTTAAAAGACACAACTAGTCAAAAGTATATAAATTACGTGAATCTAACATATAAACTGAGTAAATCACCAAGGGTAAAATACGGCTCGAATTCAACATAAACATTTAACCCAGAGAGCGAGAGAGAGTGATCTACTGGAATAGAGAAAAACTACTAATACTTTATAAAAGCTACAAAAGTGAGTGAATACAAAGTGTCAAGTACGTACTAATGAAGTCAACATATTCATTCTAAATCAGTTTCAGCTTATATGGGTTGACCCATAAGAGTAGCAGAAAGATAGTTACCTACTAACAGAGCTGAGAGGCAAAATAGGGTATGAAATGAGGGAAACAAATGAAGTACCTCAATGCCTCCAGGAAAGCAAAATGAATGAAGATCTTTGTATTTAATTGGAGGCTGCGTATCGGGAGGGTACACAAATAAGACCTGCAAATAGAGTAAATACTTAGTAACATGCAGATGAGATAGATAATGTATAGGAAAATAATAACTCACCTGAGGTTCAAGACTGGGCTCTACACGAGAATTATTTTGAGAGACCATTGCACTTCGCAACCTCCCAGAAGAGCCTTCAGATTTCCGCGCAATGTACTGCCTTTCAAGTGCTTGAATATCACAATTAGGATGAAGTCCAACCACAACAACGCTTTCAAATAGCCTTGACGGATCTTTCAATGGTTTATGATCCTGTGATTACAAGAAATGTTAATAGATCCGTCCTCGATAATTTTCCATCATATAGAAACGTAGTTGCTTCTTCATTAAAGAGTGGTAGTTGAATTCTTAAAACACATACCAAATATTGCACCTGAAATTTCGCCCATTGACGCTTCTGGCTAGTCAAAACCTCAGGGTTGTACATTATACTCTTTGTTTTAGGAGTTTCATAGAAGTTTTTAACCGCTTTCGATACCTGCCTCTGTAGTCTCTGCAGAGGGCTATCACCGCCTTCCTCTTTCGATGAGAAAACAACAGAAGGCCTTGGCGGGTTTATCGCAGAGGCTGCAGCAGCAAAAGCCATTGCAACATCTTCTGAGGTCTGCATGAGAAACGAAGCACCCCAGATCGGACTACCACTACCTTCCTCATTCTTTGCCATAACTTACTTTAACTGCAACATATTATGACCAGTATCACTGTCAACCATACTTGAAGATACAAATCAATACATAATAGTGATTCAGCTTAACTACCACAAGCGACTAACACAAAAGAGAGACGAAAGTCTCAATTTTTTTTGTTTTCAAACCAAGGTGGTCCATTTTGGAACCAAACAAGAGACTGATTGATTCTTTCCAAACACATAAGACAGTGACGGGTAACTAAATCATCATTTTTTCAAGTCTTTGATTGAAAGAGTGAAACTTTAATCAATTTTGTTCAACACAGAACAGAAAACCTGTAAAAATCCCTAAAATTGGATCGGGAGAGAACAAAAAGAAAAACCCATGAAATGTTACTTGCGATACTTTCAGACAGCAAAACCCATAATAAAATAAACAGATAGAGAATACTGAATCTGAAGATACCTCTGTGATAAGCTTAAAGCAGGCATCAAATGGAGAAAAGAAACGGTCAAGTAAAAGCGAAGCACAAGTTAAGAAGAAACGCAGAGAGAAGTCATGGCTTGAGAGGAAAATAAAAAAGAAGAAAAGCTTCAATTTTTTATTAAGGATGGATCCAAAGTCGAAGAGAGAAAGAAGATGATCCTCGTGGTTCTTGTTCTAACTTTGAAGAGTCTTTGTTTGGGGGAAAAAAAAGGCTGCGAAAAAGGAAGAGACGAAAGGAGGAAGGTCAGTTTATTTTCTTACTTTGAATAATAATAATAATATCTTTAAAGTCTTTGTGTCGTTTTGTGTGTCGTGACTAATAATGTCTACTCATTATCGGTCTTTATTCGAGTCCATTTCGGATACCCGGACGGAGTAGTAGCGATGGTGATAATTGGAAAATGGATAACTCCACACATATTTTATCAAAAGTATATATGTAACTTGTGTAAAGATAAATTCCGATAACATATCAAGTCTAGATGATTTGGACATTTAAGATCACTGTTCCAAAACTTTTGTTTCCATGTGTATTCCTGAATAGTCTCGGGAAAATTAGAAGAAAAAAAAATACATTTTGACAATATATTTGTTAATATAAACCTTCATTTTAAAGGTTTGATTAATCTTAATTCTATTCTACCATTTATTTCAAGGGTTAATTAGTTTAATATTAATTTTGTGGTAGATAATTAGGAAACTAACATATACATAATGAGATTCAGGTATTTAGCAGAGAGAAGGAGAAGTTGGACAAAATTGCCTCTACAAAAATTGAAAAAGGAACGTGGTAAAATATTAGACAAAATATTTACATTTGATCCCTAAAAATATTTAAAGGAAAGTAGTAAAAATTCATAAAAAACTTTACACATCGTCACTTTTTTTTTTGACAGAACCAATCACTCTAATCTCTGAAGAAGAAAAAAAAATCAAGATTGATCTTGATTGATGCAAATTAATCTTGATTCACTGATCTCATATGGCATTATAGTTGACTATATTCCTACTTTCTATATTGTTGTAGTTAGCTAAAATCCCAACAGTGGTTTCAAACGGCTGTATAGTTGAATATATTCCTACTTTCTATGTTGTTGTAGTCGACGGATCTCGAAAACAATGAGTGATTTGTATAGTGGACCATATTCCTACTTTCTATATTGTTGTAGTTAGCTAAAATTTCTACTTCGTATAGTTGACTATATTCTTATTTTTATGTTGTTGTAGTTAGCT